TTCTGTCTCCTTGAACCCCAGTGGGCCTCAGCAGATGGCCGCTCACACTGAGCCTGGTTCTGCTGGAGGTTTCTTCCTGTTCAAAGGGAGTTTTTCCTCTCCACTGTCGCTACAAGCATGCTTAGTGTGAGGGATTGCTGAAGAGTCAATGAGTCGATGCAATCAGCTGTTTTTTTAGATAGAAAACTTTGAACCAATCTGACTGAATAATCTGGTTGAATTGTAAAGTGACCTGAGATGACATGATGTGAATTGGGGTTACAGAAATAAACTGAATTGAACTGAATTTAATCAACAGAGCGTCAACATCTACAGAAAAAGAGGACATCCTGAGAAGAGCAGAACTCAGTAAAAAACTTAATACCACTCATGTGAGAAGAACAACCTCAGGCAAAGCTTTCCTCTGTAGCTTGCCTTAATGAACGTCAACTAGCTGCAGCTGCATCCACTTCACCGTTCCAAGCTTCGCACAGATCTCTGGGTCTAACTGATGGTAAAAGAACCAACTCCTCCTTTCAGGTTTAGTGCTGCAGCTAATCAGATGGGATTTAAAGGTAATGGTTGAGCTTTTACTCTAAAGCCTCCTTCCCACTGAAAATAGCAGGTTAGAGAAAATTAAAAATCTGCATTTGGCTCCCTTCCCATTGGAGAATAAAGCTGGGTCTAACCCCTGAACGGCAGCTGTGTGGCCTCTGCGTGGCGCAGTCAGTGTGCGTTATTGTTTCTCTCTATAATCTGTCTGAATCCCTCTAACCAGAGCTGCTCCATGTTTATCCAATGTAAACAGAGTTGATTCTGCTGGTTAGATCAGAAGCCACTGGTTCAGTGTGTTGACGTCCGTACGTTGCATTCAATTGTGTTCCCACAGCATGCTCATCAGAGCCGTTTGACCCGGGTGGACGCGCGTCAGTGAACCACTGCCTCTAAAAGCCCATTGTTCCCAGGTTTAAGCTGTGTTTTTGGCCAGTGTGAAAGGGGTATAATAGTGTCCAAACCTCCACTATCCAAACCCAGCCTGATTCTCTGCTCAAATTTGTCATTTCTAGCAAAGGCCTGATTTAAAATGAAAGATACGGCTGTAAAAAAGTGTTCTCCCTTGACAAATATTGTCATGTCAGTCCTGTATGGAAAGTACTAACTTACTTTCCTCCTTTGTTCTGGCTCCCTTTCTCCATCAGTGCCACTCACTGCCTGTCGGTGTCCCAGTGGAGTAAAAAAAGGCAGAGAGAGAAGAAGGAGGGAGTTCTGTTTGAGCGAGTGTAGCCCGTTGCCAAGTCTGGCTGCACTACAAAGGTTAGCACATCTGATTGTCAATAGTATCGTGTGGGTGGGAGAAGGAAGGGAGGGAGGAGTCATGGAGGTGAAATGGGGGAGGGAGGGGGAGGTCGCTTTGAGAAAAAGAGATACTTTGATATTTCGGAATGTTAGAAGGGTGAATGTGGAGAACAGGAGGTTGGGGATCTAATTACCGGGCCATAATTGGGGGCTGGGGAATAGGTTGCCGTCCTCTCAACTCACTGCAGATCAATTATGTTAAGAGAACATCTGTAAGTAGTGCTTAATGAGGTCCATTAGAGCAACATGCGCTGCCTTCCCTAACGGTGCTTGTCAGCTTCTAGGATGAGCTGAAGTGTGCTGCCGACTGGGGACCTGGTAGAGGGGCTTAAATAGAAGGGGAGGCTCAACGTTGGACCACTTTTCCTGTCAGAGAAGGAAAGAGATAGAGATACGGCGTAAATAGAGGGAGAGGGGGGCGCTGATATGGATAGGAGCGACTTCCAGGCAGCTTGGATGATTTTCCAGCAATAACTCGCTTGCTAAGGTTTCTCTAGAAGATCAGGAATGAGCTCAGCTTGAGAGAGTTTCCTCGTGGACAGTTTGTTTACAGGTTAGGAACATCTGCATCCTTTAACATCCCAGGCTGCATCCCAGTTCAAGGTAGGAGCCAGGACACCTCCTGGATTACTCTGACATGCATGTGTCTGTTAACATGCAACCAAACACGGCCTCTTCTAGACTGGCTTCCTCTAAAACTAATGCAAGGTTAGAACAGAGAGGAGCCTTCACAGGCCTCCCCTCTCCCTCTAGGATGCTGCTGCCTCCAGCTTCCATTCACAGAGAGGATGACTTGGCTAATTGAAGGTAGAGGGGAAATGGGAGAGGTGTGGGAGCGCTCTCTCTCCCCCATGCACACACACTTCAGCAAATTGCATGATTACAGAGATAGGCAGTCTTAAAATAATTCAATCCATGACAAAACCTAATTACTGGCAGGTAATACCCTGTCAGCTTTAATGCATCTCATCACTCATCACAGCACGCAGAGCGTTTTATGGCCCATCTTATTACCGCCGCAGTTTAGGCTCAAGCTGCATGCCAGCTATTGACTTGTCTCCTCCTCCTCCTGCCGTCTCCTCCTCCTCCTCCTTCTCTGGGCTGGAGCGTTAAAGAACAACCTGCATTTATTGGGAATTAGAGCACCATGGGTGTGCAAACACACGTCAGGAAGTGACTGAGAGCCTCAGCCGCAGCTTTATGGTCAAAATTGGGCTGAAATGGATGAAAAACGAAGCAAATCTTCTAAATGAATAATGAAAAAGGAGCAATCATGACAAGTTGGGTATCATCATTTATTTGAAGTGTGATCATGTAGCCATAAATCTATGCTGAAAAGGATTGAGTTTAGAAAACACACAAGAGATACAATTTATTTATTCAGGAATTAAAGGAAAAGTCTGCTTAAATTCAGAATCCAAACTTCTGAAAGTCCTTTAAATCTGAAATGATTCCATCTTGTTCAATAAATGATCAGTGTTTTTAATTCAGAGTAATTTTCCATTTAATGTGCTTTACTGGAGGCATCCATGTTTGTCAAAGAACACTACTGCCACCTACTGGTTAGTGACGTCACGGTGCGGTATCGGCTGTTGATCAAGTCCCAGTGCTGTATCTGGTGTTTGTCACAACGCGCTATTATCCAAGTCATAATGATTATAATGATACTGGACTTTTCCTTTAGCCTTTGAGAAGCTCTTCTAAAACAAGAACAGTGAACCAGTGATTGGGAAACTAATCTGAGTGAATAGATCTATAGTTACGGGTGCTGGTCATAAAATTAGAATATCATGAAAAAGTAGATTGATTTCAGTAATTCCATTTAAAAAGTGAAACTTGTATATTATATTCATACATTACATACAAACTCATATATTTCAGATGTTTATTTTGTTTAATTTTGATGATTACAAATGACAACAAATGAAAATCTCAAATTCATCATATCAGAAAATTAGAATATTGTGAAAAGGTTCAAAATTGATGGCCCCTGGTGCCACACTCTAATCAGCTAATTAACTCAAACCACCTGCAAAAGCCTTTAAATGGTCTTTCAGTCTAGTTCTATAGGCTACACAATCATGGGGAAGACTGCTGACTTGACAGTTGTCCAAAAGACGACCATCGACACCTTGCACAAGGAGGGCAAGACACAAAAGGTCATCGCTAAAGAGGCTGGCTGTTCACAGATCTCAGTGTCCAAGCACATTAATAGAGAGGCGAAGGGAAGGAAAAGATGTGGTCGAAAAAAGTGTACAAGCAAGAGAGATAACCGCACCCTGGAGAGGATTGTGAAACAAAACCCATTCAAAAATGTGGGGGAGATTCACAAAGAGTGGACTGCAGCTGGAGTGAGTGCTTCAAGAACCACCACACACAGACGTATGAAAGACATGGGTTTCTGCTGTCGCATTCCTTGTGTCAAGCCACTCTTGAACCACAGACAGCGTCAGAAGCGTCTTGCCTGGGCTAAAGAGAAACAGGACTGGACTGCTGGTGAGTGGTCCAAAGTCATGTTCTCTGATGAAAGTAAATTTTGCATTTCCTTTGGAAATCAAGGTCCCAGAGTCTGGAGGAAAAGAAGAGAGGCACTTCATCCACGTTGCTTGAAGTCCAGTGTAAAGTTTCCACAGTCAGTGATGGTTTGGGGTGCCATGTCATCTGCTGGTGTTGGTCCATTGTGTTTTCTGAGGTCCAGGGTCAACGCAGCCACATACCAGGAAGTTTTAGAGCACTTCATGCTTCCTGCAGCTGACCAACTTTTTGGAGATGCAGATTTCATTTTCCAACAGGACTTGGCACCTGCACACAGTGCCAAAGCTACCAGTACCTGGTTGAAGGACCATGGTATCCCTGTTCTTAATTGGCCAGCAAACTCTCCTGACCTTAACCCCATAGAAAATCTATGGGGTATTGTGAAGAAGAAGATGCAATACACCAGACCCAACAATTCAGAAGAGCTAAAAGCCACTATTAGAGCAACCTGGGCTATCATAACACCTGAGCAGTGCCACAGACTGATCGACTCCATGCCACGCCGCATTGCTGCAGTAATACAGGCCAAAGGAGGCCCAACTAAATACTGAGTGCTGTACATGCTCATACTTTTTATGTTCATACTTTTCAGTTGGCCTACATTTCTATAAATCCTTTGTTTTTATTGGTCTTCAGTAATATTCTAATTTTCTGATATGATGAATTTGAGATTTTCATTTGTTGTCATTTGTAATCATCAAAATTAAACAAAATAAACATCTGAAATATATGAGTTTGTATGTAATGTATGAATATAATATACAAGTTTCACTTTTTAAATGGAATTACTGAAATCAATCTACTTTTTCATGATATTCTAATTTTATGACCAGCACCTGTATTCTGAAGATAAAAGGAGTGATAAGCAGATTTTATTTTATTATATATTTTTTTTGCAGATTCTGGTAAATGTGGAAGAATAAAGAAGTCAGAAAAGCAGAAACTGGAGGCATTTTTATTTATTTTGTTACTGATTTAAGTTGTGTTTGAATTGCGTCCGTCTGAGCTCCGGGATGACGCATGTATTGTGAATTGGCGCTATAGAAATGAACTGAATTGAAAGGAAATCTCATTATTTCCAGCAGTGATCGTTTATTTTTCGCAGTTGAACCTTTTAGCGCTTTGTTAGGACAGTTTGCGTCATGAACGTTTCTAACTGATCCAACATTGAATGAAGAGCAGCTGATGGGAGGCTGGTCCTCGCGGCGCGCGGCAGGATCAGAGGCTCTGCGCATCGCGGTGGGGGGGGCGTTTCTTTGTCATCCTGTCATTTGAGGCCAGCTCCTCGCGGCAGCAGACCTGCTCCCACGCGCCGTGGCCAGCGGTGATCAGCAGCGGACCCGTGGCAGCTCCGCTCCCCATCTCCGCGCTAACAAAGCCCGCTCTGCGGACCGGACTCTGCGGCTTTAGGTCGGATGGTGCTTCGGCGGCTCAGCAAATGCAGAAAAGGGAGCAAAGTTTCGGTAAGAAGCTGTTTGATTTTCTGAGGAATTCCCTGTTTTTCTCCGTGGAAGGTGCCGCGACCTGCTTCTCTGCCATCCTTCCGCCCCACGGCCACGGAGCCTCCATTTCCACGGTGTTTCCTGGCAGCTCCGCTGCCTGTTTGCTTTTTAAAATGTGGATTTAGGATGGAAGTGGCTGCCTGCACACTGATGGGGAAATGTCAACATGTTTGCATGCAGCTGCAGCTGCGCATCCAGCTGCAGCTGCAGCTGCTCCATCACTTTACTGAGAGTCAGGATTTTATTGCAAACTTCCCTTCAGTCAAAGAGGAAAATCCTTTCATCGCCTCCAACTCTCAGCCTGCAGGAGGGGGGGTGCTTTGCTTTGCTAATGACTTGCAGGACTTTGTAGTGCTAATGAGGTGGACTGATCAGGCAGGCCAAAATCCAGCCAATTAACAAATAAGCACAGGAACAAATGAGCTCAAATCTTTCATTTTGCACATTTTTTCCCCCTGCATTAAACACGTTTTAATTGGCAGGAAAAAAAAAACGTCATGTTTTTCTCCATTTTTTTATTCTTTTTGTTGCTAAATGTGATATTTTGTCATGTTTTCCTGCCTGATCAGATGCAGTGGGTGTGATGTTAGGAGTCAGATGTGTCTTGTAGTGATAACTGCATTCACATCCATCATAACCAGGGGCCACGGGGCCCCTGGTGGGAAATTTAAATCAACCACGTGCTGCAGAGTCATCATTAAAAAAACCCAAAACAAATTAAAGTAAAAGGTCTTAATTACATTCACTAAAACTTTAACAGTCCAGTGTTGGTTTAATTAAAAGTTAGCCACACTAACCTGCTTTATTTGAAAGAAGAAAGTGGTGGGGGTGTAGGTGGGGGTGTGGTGAATGGGGCACAAAGGGAAGTGAGGCTGTGGTGCTCCTCAGGGAATGAAAGGAGAATACTAATTTAAAGCCTTATTGTGAGACGCCTCCTCTCACCCACAGGGCCAACAAAGGCTCTCCCCAGTGAGCCCAGGCCAAACAATGCACAGCACTGCCTGGGACCCCGCCCCTTTACACACACACACCATTCAAAAGGCCAGAACCGTAGCTTTGTGTGTTTGCCTGCTGGTCTAAACGGTCCTGCAGACAGTTGCTTTGGGATGATCTTATGTTGGAGGGTCCAACCCGCTCCATGCGCTGCTGTTTCAGTCCAGATGAGGAAGACGCTCTCCTCCGTTTCTCTTCTGATGCGGCTCCTAAACACAGCAGCCTGTTCAAAACATTAGGAAAGTAGGAAGGACAGAAGCAGGGAACGGCAGCATCAACATCTTAGAGAAACACAAAGAAATGGGATCCATTAAACAGACTTTTAGGCTGTGTTCACACTGCAGCATCCCAGCAGAATCCTCTCCCTATTAATATTTAATTCCCAGTTATAAAAATGTGCCGATCATTCTTTAATAAGAGCATCATCATTCGGACATGCAATGTTTGTTTTTAAACCCAATCCAATTATTTTTATTGATTTTTGTGCCCATCTATGACCTGGATCTGATCTTTTCATGACGGTCTGATCAACACAGATCCCATGTTTTCTGATGCGACCCAGGCCACTTGGCTCTGTGGTGCTGAATCCGATGAGAATCTGATCTCTTCTAATGCGACCTGCGTCTGAACGGCCAGGTCGCATTTATCTAAAAATCAGGATTGAGCATCAGGGCGAGCAGCGTGAAGGTTGCCCTATAGTCTCCTGTTCCACACAGAGAGAGCAGAATAACTCCACTGTTTCCACGGAACATTTAATGCATCTCCATTTTCTTTAAAAACAAATTATATTTTTTTCTCTAAAGACATTAGTTGAAATTCAGACTGAATTATTCAGTAAAGAAATTGTAATTGCAATTATTTTTCAACCGATTGCTATTTTATTTTTCCTTTGCATGAACCCTAAGCTAGTAGATGTTTCTCCTCAGACTTGCACAGAGTCCTTTGTTGCAGGATTTTACTGTAACCTGCTGCCACCTGTCTGTGTGGCGACAAACCTTACATTAGATGAGCTTTATGGATCTCACAGCGGAGAAATTCACTCGTCACATATTGGCATAGAAGTTAAAGAAGGTGCAAACAGGGAGGGAAAGGTGCATTAAGAAGAATAAACTATATATATATATATATTTATATATATACAGTATATCAAGATAAACAAGGATTAAGGTGCAAGTATACATGTATTGCACACAATGAAAAACAAAAAAAAAATAACAATAAGAAATAAAAAATAAAAAGATTTAAAAAATATCAGGTAGTAGCACTAAATTACTGCCACCTATAGGGCTGGAGGGAGACATGTAGTGTCCGGCTTAGAGCGATTAAAATTGGAAGCTTCTGCAATTTCAAAACTGCTTCTTTGTTAAATCGTGATTATATTGCGAAATGAATTAATTGCCCAACCCTGGATGAAATGCCCATTTATTTACTTTTTTTCAGATGCAAGGAAGCATAAATCTAACATTGTTAGAAGAAATATATTTTAGCTGTAGACTATTAGCTTTCATAAGCAAATTCTTTGTTTTTTTTTGTTTAAGAACGTTGTTTCAAATATTGTTGTAACTTTGATAAATAAAACCTCAAACCTCTGACCGTCCCTTCAGCTTTATTCTCTAATTTAGCTTCAGTTTTTGGTGTGCCTGTGTGTGTAGTAGGTAAATAACCATATATAGGGGTTTGGGAGCGCGCCACTGCTTCAGTGTTTAACGGCTCCGTCTTTCCTTCCAGGTATACAAATGCTCACCGTCCAGCCGGACACGAAGCCAAAAGGCTGTGCCGGCTGCAGCCGGAAGATCAAGGACCGCTACCTGCTGAAGGCTCTTGATAAATACTGGCATGAAGACTGCCTGAAATGTGCGTGCTGTGACTGCAGGCTGGGTGAGGTGGGCTCCACGCTGTACACCAAAGCCAACCTCATCCTGTGCCGGAGAGACTACCTACGGTAAGACAGACCTGGCAGCTCAGCTACTCTCTGCGCTGCAGAGATTCTGCTTCCCCATTCACATTTGGTTTGTTTTTATTTTCTCAGTAAAGAACAGTAAATTTGAGATTTCCCTAAATGAGTCGTCTGTTGAGACGAGAGAGGCAGCTTTTGTCTGATTGATCTTTCTAGATTTTTGAAAATAAAATTGGTAATTTCTTTCTTTTATTAAGAAGTTCCTTGATTGTATTTATTTTTCCAGGAATAATTCTCTTTTCTATGTGAATAATAGTAATGGTTAAGAAAAATCCAAGAATTTTCTGAAAATTCTACAAAATGCTTGTTGATCATCTTTATTGTCAGCAGTCTTAATTGGACGTGTTTGTGCAGGTTTCCTATTGCAAAACATGAGAATCTCTAACCTGCCTCTATGCGGCGCTTCCGTCTGGTTAGGAGCTGGATTTTAATGGTGGGACTTGATGGTTCCGCCTCATCAGGTTAGGACCAATCAGATAAGCGCAGGTGTAGCAACGCGCTCTGTTTCTCTAATTCTGTGAAAAAAGATAAACTGTAAAGGAAACTTTTGATGTTTTTCCTGAAAGTGCTGCTCTCTATTACGACTTTAATTTTCACTGCACCATTCCTCGAGTCGAGTCGCAGCTTGTTGTTATGCTAGCAGAAAAGCTCAGGTGCATTATGGGTAATTGTACTTCATGTCTCTACCCGATCCGTCCCGGAAACCCAATCCATCCTGCGTCTGTGTGAACAGAATAACTTCCTGGTAGGCATTATTTTGTTTTTCCTTACTTTTTTATTTTTTGTCTTTTTCTTTTTTTTTATTTGCGTAAATATTAAATTTTCTAAAAACAAAAAAAATGGAAACATAAAAAAACACTTAAACAGCCTTTGGAGCGTTACTGTGACTGCTCTGATGCAGTTCAATGGAGAGAACGGAAAACGGATCCATTTCTTCCAGGAAAGTCTTCAATAATTTCTAAACGATGTAGTTCAGCATTCTTTAATGTTTTAAGTATATAAATAAATATTCTCAGTACCGTTATTACATCGTTTTTGGGCTCTTATTATTCTGATCGCGCTTACGCAGGACGGACCGAGCTTCTGGACGGATCAGGTAGGGACCCTGCAAAGTCCCGCCTCCCTCTCTGTGATTGGTCCACCCATCTCTGACCAAAGTCAGCGATTATTTGCTAGACTGAATTACTGTAATTTAGTCCGGTTGGCCTGGATAGGGAAACTCATGAACGATGCAACAGAAATTAATCAATTATTCCCAGGATTTATGATTCAGCAGCTTGTTCTGATGGTGATTTCTTTTATTTATATAAATGTTAAAGTTAAAACTGTAGCATCAGAAATGAACAGGATCCTCCTGAAAGCAGCAAAAAGTGAAGCTTTCTGTTTTCCCTCCATTACTTTTCTTTAAAGTGAACTTCTTAGGGTTTCCTCAGGTGGTTTTCACATGGCATGTTTTTCATTTTACCAATTGTGTCATAAATAAACACAAATTCTTAAATCTACTTAACAGAGTTACATTAAATTAGTTTATTGATCCTTCCTGTGAAATACTTCATGGTCTTGGATCGTTCATCTACCGTATATAATCTCTTGTTTTGGGTGATATTGTCCAAGTGATGCAAGCTGGATTTATTCTTCTAGTGTTTTTTTGTATGGATTGAAAAGCTCTAATATATACAGTTAATCATTTTAAGATAGAATGTTTTGTTGGATTTGAGGATTTAAATTGAGATTTGAGTATATTGTTCATCAGGAACATATTCTATTATGTGCAATAGCCCCGTTTCCACTGAATGCCCCAGACACCACGCATTCTTTTATCCCAATCATAGGAAGTTAGCCTCAGTTTTAACAGGAACCACTGAGCCTGGGTCCTGTTAAAGGAAGTTTTTCCTCTCCACTATCGCTGGATGCATGCTTGGTGTGAGGGATTGGTTAACTAGCTGGTTTTCCTTTCAATCTGAATTTATGATTAGATTGTGTGAATAATGGGCCTTTAGGGGATACGTGTTGGGAACTGATGCTAGAGAAACAAAGTGAACTGAATTGGTTGATCCTTGGACTCCAAACTCAGCTGTTCAGGGACTAAAGATAAAGTAAAATATAGCTTAAGGAAAAACTAGTGCATTTTGAGTTGGATACATTCATTGAATTGATTGTCTGCTCATCTTTGCCGACTTATAACAATATTTAAGTTGAACTTTTCCACAGACTGAAACTTGGTGTCTGCAGGTCTACTAAAGGCTTCCACTGTTTGGAATTATTAAGAATGGGAAGAGATGCTGTTTTGCAATCAGTTGATTTGCAGCATCTTCTGCCAAACTAAATGAGATGGAGATTCATTCTTTTCCTCCAAAAATTCACCAAACCCGACGTAACGAGGGTTAATTGAATTCTTCAGGGGTCTGCAGCCCTGACTGATGCCATCCAGCTAGCAGCTGAGAAACAACAACAAAAAAACAACAAAGAAGGGAAACACAAGCAGAGCGTTATGCTAAAACATTTCCTGTCCACAGTAAGACGCGTTTGTGCGACATCAACATTTCTACTTTTATAGCAGATCTAAACATAATTAAAAGTTGAATGTGTTGGAGGCTGATTGATGTTCCACTGAGCATCATTTATTAAATTAAGATTGTTCAATCAGTAGATCTTCCCTTTCCAACAGTGGTGATATAATCTATTTATTCTCATGTAGTTTGCAGAACATCAAACTGATAATGATGGAGGACGGCGGTCCGATTCACACTTTTAGGTAGAGAAGAAAAAGCTAAGGAAATAGATCACAGCTGCAACTAATAATAATTTAGCAAATTGATTCATCTGTTGATTCTTTTAATCGATTAATAATCAGATAGAAAAAGGTTTTTTAAAGGAGACTTTTTACAAAACATAAAGTAAAACTTTTCTACCCGACAGGTTCTGGATAGAGCAGATTGAAAAAAGAGAATTAAACTGTTTATACTTTTTATCTTTTTCCACATAATTCCTGCTCTAAGTGCGTCACTCTGTCAGCTAAAGGCCTGTTTTAGAGTCTCTATAGTCTACATATTATTCTGAGAGCTCCTACATTTGATCTTGAAGCCAAAACTACATAAAAGTTGGTTTAAACTAAATTAAAAAGCTCACTCTGAGACTTTCATTTCATTTCAACTGCTTCTTTTTTTAAGGATTATGCTCCTTTTTTTAATTGCATGTAAACATCAGTGAATCAACCCAATATTTATCTTCCTTCATCACAGAAGCTCCAACAGAAAAAAGCTGTAATAAAGAATAAAAATCCACAGACTTTTATAGAATCTGATGGTTTGAAAGGTTGGCGATTCTGATGGCGATTTCAAAGGTTCAGGACTGACGGGATTTATCTATTCTCCCCGACGTCTGTTGACCTAAAGCTGAATGATCTGAGCCAGCTAAGAGAGAACACTGGAAAAACCATCTAGAAATAAGTACAAACTTCTTAAATTAAGTGCATTTACCCTTAATTTGAGCAGGTTAATGAGATGATTTTCCAATGGAATGAGTATTTTTACTCTTAAAATAAGATAATTAGGTAATATGCACTTGAAATAAGAAAAATTCAATTGTGTTTCCTTATTTAAATGTAAATTGTCTTGTTCCATAGGCAAAATGTCTGTTATACCTTCTCAATTTAAGAACAAATGCACTTATTTTAAGAAAAAAGGACTTCTCTAGATTTAGATTTTTTTCCAGTGAAGCTTCTTTCTAGATGAAAAAGTCTGTCCAGCATTTCTTCACATCAAATAATGAACCAGCGGGAAATGTTCCACTAAAATAAGGTTTGATCCATTTCAGTGGGAAAAAGACCTGTCTGACCACAGAGGGTAGAAACTTTCCTACCAAATGGAATAAGTTCTGCTGTTTCTGATGAGATCCTTCAAAATGTGCATTTAAGAAAGTTGACGGAAACACATCTGTTGACTATGATGGATGTTAGATCTGAAGTGATTCGTACCTGAGTGGAGGGATAAGCCTGGTTTACAGGCCTTCTGTCTAAACTGTCTAAACTAGGCTTAAAAAATTTACTGACTTCTGATAAGTTGTAGATTCATATCAGTTCAGTTCATCTGATAAACTACATCCACCTTGGTAGAACTTTCTGCGTTGCAGAAGGTGTCACGGTTCATCCTTTAGAGGAGAATGAAATATCTGGAAGCCTTGCTAGAACTAAATTCTATAGAAGTTACTTTACACAGTCTGGTGGTGACCAGGATGTAGAATGAACTGTGTTTGGGTCCATCTGTAAATGACCTACAGAGCTAGTCGTCTGTGAGAGGACAAACTCCTGACAGCATGAGAAGCTCCTCAGCCCACAGTCCAGCTGGAGTTTGGAAGAGTTTGATGTTTGTTATCAGCTGCAGGACTGAGCTGCTGACTGAAGAACATCAGATGTTCTACCATGGAAATGGTTCTTCTGATTCCACGGCTAAACTCTGGAAGCTGCTCTCAGGGGCGGATTTAGGAAATGTGGGGCCCTAGGTAAAGACAGGCAGGGGCCCCTCTGAATGGAGAAGACAACACATTAAACAGCCCCATTCTACAGATAGAGAAATGTTAATAGAATAGACATCCATTATCTGTTCTAGGTTGTGTCCCTCTCTTCTTGTCCCTTTTCTTCTTGTTTTCCTCTCTATGTTTTGTACTCAGCTGACTTTTCATGCTGTCTCTAAAGGAATGAAAGATTGTTTCCAAGCACTAAGCTCACTTAGCTGATTGCTCCTTCCTGTGTTTCCAAAAAGGCCAAAGTAAATAACCCAGTCCTTCTTTTCACTGTAGACAAGCCATGATCTGCTTCTCTGTTCTCCATTTTTCATTTGGATGAAATAATAGCTGCATGAATCATGACAGCAGACAAGATAGAGGAGAGCAGGAGGCGGGGTTACCAATCTACTCGCTCTGGAGAGCAGAGTTCGCTGCTTTTAGATGTTGTCTCCAAAGTCTCCAGTAGCAGAAAAAAGTCTCTA